CGTTTCCTGAAAGATTTTCTTCGTTTTCCATTCGCTTATATTCAATGGTTCAGCTCTCACTACTCGAATCCTCGTGCTGATTGCATCACATACCCAACAATTAATGCAAGAGGAAGTACTCCTCCGGTGAGTTGTTTTCGAAATTTAAATTTGTGTTACGAAAAATTTGTCGTAAAATTCGAGACTGTCGGTCCAGGCTTGAACGGAATTTTTGTTTGCCACCTTCTTAGATAGGAGCACTGATCCCCTATGGTGCCCATTAACGTCATCTCATATTTCAGTATGGACAATCGCAATCAGTTTTCTCCAGTTTTGGCGCTGAAAGATCGAGGGACTACGGAAGGTGAGTAATTTTTGGTTTAGAAAACAGATGCCGCCTGTCGTCCAAACGTGGCAGAGGAGCGCCAGCGAGTGCCGCGTCTGCATACCTTCCCCTTGCCAAAGGTCAGCTTAGCGTAGGGCAGCTGGCCATTGGTTCTAATGACTTACAGTCGCTTTTCCGCTGCAGACACTGAGACGTGTCAGATCGGCAGAGTTTGGCGCGGCGCCAGGTTTTTCTCCACTAATTGTTGAAGCGTGCACAACAGGTGAAGGAAAACGGCGCGCTAAACCAGCACCTCTGACAACGCCTCACAATCCACGCAGCGGAAAGCGCCCATATTTTTCTTTTTACTCTGATTTGCCCACAATATCTTTCTTCAAAGCTTTCGCAACTGAGTTGTTATCTCCTGGTTCTTTTCAGGAAACGGGATTGGCGCACCCCTCGAATAATCAGGGACAGAAACCACTAGATGCGAGCTCATTGAGCGGGGGATTTTCGTTTACTACTAAAAATATCGAACCATGTTGTGAAACGTTGTCCTTCTGTAATGCTACAAAATGGTTTAAGACGGACGGCATTTGGTGCTGGATGGTTACCAAAAAACGATTTTTAGCCAAATGGATGAAAGTTTTTGCATAATAATAGGAGGGAAAAGCTCCCGGTGGGTGATTTACTTGATACGACATGGATGTTACTTTTACTTAACGTTTACAAAGGTCACGAATCTCCCCCTCCTCTCTCATTCATGTAATAATGCCGAGAACTGAACCGCAAAGCTAACTGTAAGAAACAATTATGCAGGTTTTCCTAAACCTGCATAAGTGTTTTTGAACCTAAACCTAAATGCGTGTTCTTAAGCTCGCACCCGCATATGCTACTGAACCCTTACAATTTTTTCACATTTTTAACTTTGAAAACTTCTAAATACCTGTCGTTGAAGTCGTCAAGTGGTTCGACATATTTGCTAATGTCCTGTATGGGAGAAGGAGCACGATCATAGCCACGACCGATGGGAGAAGGAGCACGATCATAGCCACGACCTATGGGAGAAGGAGCACGATCATAGCCACGACCTATGGGAGAAGCACCGCGATCATAGCCATGACCACCAGTCATGCGAGGATCCCTTAAATAGCACATGTCAACAAAATACTCCCCATGTTCTTCAGATTCGAAAAAATAAAGAGAAACTGGACGATCGACCTAGTCACTCACGATATGCTCGTAAGTCTAGACGATTGTAGCACCATTGTACAACTGGCAGGTATACTTAGTAACTCACCTTGCATAGGGATCGTCATATCGCGATGGCATACCACGCGACGGATTGTCGTAGCTCGAATAGCCGCCAGAGTTCTGAAAACGAGCGATTGAGTACAAAAATCAATTGTTTTAACATCACCTTTCTGAAGGAGGTAAGTGAAAAGTTTCCCAAGTTCACAGGTTGCCTTACA